TTTCATGCGATGATAACAGCGCGATTGCGTAACCGGCCGGTCGCACACGGAGGCTTATCGCCGCCGCCGACGAGGGCCTCGGATAAGCAACGCACCGCTACGCATCGCACGAAAATGACAACATAAATGACAAACAAATGAATTAATACAACATAAAAATAAAACATAATATAGACACTACGTTCAGACTCAAACATCCCGAACCCCTTGAAGCAATATGCTTCAATCAACTATATAACTTTCCGGTAAAGGACACAACTTTGTTAACGGTCGTTTCATTAAAGAGCCACTTGAAGTTCGAACTGTAGCAACTCGGGTGATACCATCCGTCCCTGGGTGAAGAGCATGAATACGAACTGACCGCCAACTTCGGGGTGGCAAATTATCTTCAACTAATATAACTAATGCACCCGATTGAATTTCTGTTGAATTCTTCAACCATTTTTGCCGCCCTTGTATAGGAGATAAATATTCTGTTCTCCATCTGTGCCAAAATCCTTGTATCAATTTCTGAAGTAGCATCCATTTTTTTAGTCGTTGATCAGGAACATCAGTTACATCAGGCTCGGGGGAAGGCTGCGAAGAACCTCCAATACGAAAATGATTAGGCGTTAACGCACGATGATCTGATGGGTCAGAAGACAATGCAGTTAGAGGTCTTGAATTCAAGCATGCTTCGATTTGAGTTAATATAGTACACAGTTCTTCGAAGTTTAAATTTGTATTCGTAACGGTGCGAAACAAATGATGCTTAAAAGACTTAACCGCTGCTTCCCACAATCCACCGAAATGGGGAGCTCCTGGTGGCATGAACGTCCATTGTATTCCGTCAGAAATAAGATTCTCAGGAATAGTACGACCAGTATTTTGAGGTAGAAAATATTGTTTTAATTCGCGTTGAACTCCAATGAAGTTTGTACCATTGTCCGACCAAATATGAGAAGGCATTCCCCTTCTTGACATAAATCTACGTAAGCAAGCCATAAAAGCATCAGAGTTGAGACTGCTCACAGGTTCGAGATGAACGGCTTTGGTAGCTAAACAAACAAAAACAGCAACGTAGGCCTTGATTGGAGCTGCACGACGTATACCCACGCGAATTAACAATGGCCCTGCAAAATCCACACCTGTATGTGTAAAAGGCCTATTTACACATACACGGGCAGCTGGTAGTTGTCCCATAATAGGCTGCAATGGAATGGGTTTAGCTCGAAAACACCGTTGACATCGATTGAAAATACGGCGAACTACATCACGGCCCCGTAGTGGCCAAAATTTCATTCGAACATTGGCCAGCAATCCTTGTGGCCCTATATGTAAGAACCGTAAATTATAAGAAAGACAAATTTACTCAGTCACTCGATGATTGCGAGGTAACAACGCAGGTTGTTTTTGAGAAAATGGCTCGTTCGAGTGCTCTAAACGTCCTCCTACACGCAGAATATCTTTATCCATATACGGTGATAATCCCTTCAATGGACCTTTAGTAACAACCCCGCCTTCCGTTAATATTTTAATTTCATCGTTAAATAAATCACGCTGTGCATAGCGCACCCACACATCTTCGGCTTGCTGGATTTCTATCACTTGCAGTGGACCCTTTATTTTTGAAAATATATCCGAATGATGTCGATAACGCAACTATTTTATGAAACGTAACCATATAGCCGTGATACGTAAAAGTTTGCTCCAATTGGAGAAAGTATATAACAGATTATTCTTATAAGTGCTGATTGCGAGCGTAAACTTGATTGGCCGCTGTTCAAGGACGATCTGCTCGAATTATTGAACTTTTTCGGCAAACGAAGGCCACGTAGACTCATCAGATCTTAAAAAGTCAGGCCCTGACCACCAAATATTTAAATTAATCAATCCATCAGTGGTTACACCACGAGATAAATGATCAGCCGAGTTATAATTTGTATCAATGTGACGCCAACATCGAACACCAACTGCATCAACGATCTGAGACACACGATTTCTAACAAAGGTTTTCCATTGAGCAGGAACGCCACGAATCCATGATAATACTACTGTAGAATCACACCAACAAATCATATTATCAAATGTTATATTTGTTACCTCGGACACCCGATGCATTAACTCAGACAGAAGAACAGCACCAGATAGTTCCAAACGTGGAATTGTCAGTGTTTTTGTTGGTGCTACGCGAGATTTGGCGCACAAAAGTCGCATCTGGTATGTATTTGCGTCAATACGCTGACGCAAGTAAACACATGCACCAAAAGCTATTTGAGAGGCATCGCAAAAACCATGAAGCTCAATTGGACCTGTATAGTTTATCCTTGCGGCACGTGGAATTTTCAATCTATCCAATTTCTTCAAATCTTCAATAAATAACTGCCACCGGTTTTGAATATGAACTGGTAGTTTGTCGTCCCAACCCAGTTTTAACTGCCAAAGTTCTTGGAGGAACACCTTACCACGAATAAGTACAAGACCTAAAAATCCCAAAGGATCGAAAACGCTATTAAGAGTAGACAATAATTCACGTTTTGTATCGGAGCGACTGGATTTTAGTAATTTATTTAAAAACAACAAATTATCGCTATTCGGACACCAATTCAACCCTAATGAAGTAGTTGTTTCCTCTGGTCCCAGATCTAATGAATGATGCGTTTCGCTAGATGCATTAATAAATGTTTTACGCATTTGTCCACTATTGGAACACCATTTACGAAGCTGAATACCTCCAGATTCCAAGATCTTTGATACGCTCAAATACAACAGCTAAGCTTCCTTAACATCATTAGCTCCACTAATATAGTCATCCATATAAAAATCTTTCATAATAGAATTACTTGCTTTAGGATCCTGTGATACATTTGCAATTGCAAGTTCCTTAAGAACCCGTGTAGCTAAAAAAGAAGCGGGTACTGTACCATACGTAACAGTGTTGAGTCTAAAATGTCCCATAGGCTTATCTGGAGAGTCACGCCAAAGAATTCTTTGATACTCTCGATCGCTTTCCTTTACTAATACTTGCCGATACATTTTAGCAACATCAGCAGTGATGACGACAACATGCAACCGAAAACGTAACACTATATCAAATAAATCTGGTTGTATGACCGGTCCGCGTAACAATACATCATTGAGTGAAAGATTCGTTGACGTTTTCATGGAAGCATCAAATACCACTCGCAGCTTTGTTGTCGTACTCGAGGATTTGAATACCGCATGATGTGGCAGATAATAATACTCGCCGGTGTTTAACACAGGATCAATTATAGGCGACATATGACCCAAAGCTAAATAATCATTAATAAAAGCACAATATTCGTTATGAAACTCCGGAAATCGTTGAAACTTGCGTTTTAAGCTTAAAAAACGATTCAATGCTAATTCCATTGATCGTCCAAGCTGGTCAGTATCATCTCGAAACGGTAAAGAAACAATAAATCGACCATCGTTTTGACGTTGATGAGTCATTTTAAAATGATTTTCACACCGGACTTCATCTTCAGCCTTTGACTGCCTTGGCATTGATTCGTTTAACCAAGCCGAAGTTGTAATAAAACATGAAGTGAACCTAGCTTCATTATAAATTTGTTCTGTTGGTACAGGACCGGAAATTATCCAACCGAAAGTGGTATTGTACAGCCAAAGCGAAACTCCTGGCATCGCCGTTGGCTGTGAACGAATCACTTCGAAAAAGATCTCAGCACCCAACAGTAAATCCACACTAGAAGACTTATAGAAATCTCTTTGTGCGACCGGCCGGTTACGCAATCGCGCTGTTATCATCGCATGAAAGTGTCGTTATTTCCACGTTTTCAAAGGTTTTCGGTTATGTTTTTGTAAAAGTAAAAGTCATGTTCTCAGTGCCACAAAGTTTCATAAGTTCTCGTGTTTTTTGGTTTAGTGTGGTGGCACTGAGACATTTATCTTCATTTTGTGGTGTCCGGCGGCCCTAGCCTTCGTGGAAAATGTCGCCGGCACCGTCTCTCTCTCTGTTCGTGTCCGCCGTAGTGTTGATACCCGTTTGTCGTTTGTTCCTGTGTGCAGCCATTTTGTTATACCACGTTTTTGTCTTGTCAGTTTTGTTGTGAATCAGTCATTGGTAACTATCGCGCATAATATTTGCCCATCATTAATTTATTTTGTCCCTCTAGGGTGTTCAATTTGTTACCATTGACTGCATTGTTTAGTGATTTAACGTGGTATATTTGTGTTGTATGGTCCGGTTGCAGCAGAGTCGTGTGTTATTTGTTCATCGTGGTGCAGTTAGCGTTGTGTTGTAGTGTGCGGAATCACTTGTATTTTTTATTGTATTAATTTTATTATTAATTACGGATTCCGGCATTGCAGCACATCATAACTGCATGAGGTAGGTGGTGCACCATCATTTTTTATATTATTTGAAGACCGACGGGTCTATCACATTGTATTTATTTATTACATTATTATTAGTGTGCGCCGTGTGGGCCACGCATTATTGATTTATTTATTTATATTATTATTAGTGTGCGCCGTGTGG